ATATCTTCGTCGTTTCAGAGCTTGAAAAATATCTTATTCACGGTTAATGCCAATGCACAGTGCCTCTTAACTTCTTTCGGCATTCGTCTATCAGAAACCATTACGATGTTCTACGTTAACTTCTTTTTTCACAACTATGGTGTCAAGGTTCAGAAAGTCTCTGCTCTGAGTGCTACTAATTTCTATAGATTTCGTTTTACTTACGTCAATCGAAAAACCCAGATTAAAACACCTCCGTTTCAGAGGTAGGAACAGTGATGTCGTAACTTCAAAGTTGCCTGCAAGCCAGCACGATATCATTTGCAAACGCAAGAGTGCTTAGGCAAATACTGGCACTACTGCCGCCATAGCCTGATTCCTTAGTGCCGGCTTGAGCACTCAGACACGTCAGATCATAAACAGCAGTAGAGATTCCACACTTTCTTGTCTTACTCCCAACTGTGTAAGAAAATTTTTCGAGCCTGCCATCAATACACACTAGATTAGACGAATGATCATACATATCTTTAATTATACTAACAATCCTTATTGGGATTCCACACTGTTCAGAACCTTCCGCAAGCATCTCTCCAGATTGAGCCTAATGCTTTAGTGAACCGCGACAAATACTGCAAAGAATTTGGTTCCCCATTCTCTCTTCTTCCCACTCTTGCGAGTGTCTGGTCCAAAAATCCGCTGCCTAACCTGAATTCAGACTGCTCTTCACAGAAGATCTTCTCAAGATGTTGTCTAATTTTGTTCACCATAACACGGATGAATGCTTTAGCAGGACGAATAGTAGGCTGATTTCATTGTAGTTATTTAAATCCTAGCTACAATCTTTCTTAAATATTGAGGCCGCAACTTCTTTTGTCCAGTCACAACAGTTTTCGTTTTTCTGTCATATCAGTCCAAAGAAATTTTATAATGCAAGTACTTAATTCGTTAGAGACTCCTTAATCAACTCTAGTTGTATTTCACTGATACTTCGTGCATACGGGATTGAAAGCCAGTTGCTAAGGGCCATCCAGTCATCGTATTCTGATAGCAGGTGCTGCGTAAGAGTTAATGGCGTTAAGTCGAAGATATTCAACGTTCGCACTGGCCTCCGCCAAGGCTGCGTCCTGTCCCCTACCCTGTTTATGTTGTACATGGATGGAATAATCAGGAGCTGCCAAGGCTATGAGGGTATCGGTGTAGGAGATGTGAAGTCGAGAAGGTTGCTGTTTGCATACCACCTTGTTTTATTAGCATCTTCT